CTGAGTACAATGCTACTTGTCCTTAATTTAAAGAAAAGAGTATTATCTTTTCCCACTAAGTACAAGGCTTACTAGAAGGTTCTTTGTAAATGCTTTTTGAAAAGAATTTGACAATGCTCTTTTATATTTCTTGTTAAATGAGAACTTTGTGAATAGATGTTGGATTATGTCCAGTACCTTTTCCCCATATCTATTGACAAGTTAACATGTTTTTCTTATTCAGTCTGTTAAAATAGTGAAGTACACTCGTGTTTGAATGACAAGCCAATATTGCATTTCTGGGATAAACTCTACTTAGTCATGCTATATTATTTTGTTCTTTTAGAAAAAGATTTATTTATTTATGTATAAAGGAACTGGGGTCTAAGCCAGATGTGGGGAGGGTGAGAGGATTCACCAGAGACAGAGTGGGGAGCAGAACAGGCAGATCCACTGAAATACTCTGCTAAGAGGAGCAGTGGGTGAGGCCGTAGAGATCTGCTGCACCATATGGGTCAGCACACTGGCTGGGAGTGGAACTGAGACCATTATGGCTGGTGATAGCTTCATAGTGCTGAGTCTTGTGCCACCACGGAGTCCCTATTTATTTTTAAATTAATTCATTTATTTTCTTACATTGTGATTAGCTTTTGGACAGTATTTGATTTCTTCCCTTAAGTATAATCCCAATAGAAAAGTATGTAATAAATTATGAGTTTGCATGTCACCCTTATTCAGGGGCTATGGTAATCTTCTCTGTACAGGTCCAATTTTTGTATAATTGCTCCCTAAACAAACATTTATTTTTCTTTTTTATATCTACACAATGTACTGACTTCACAATTTCATTAGTAACATTTTCTCTAGGGTATGCTATCTTCTTTCTGATCAGTTTTGCTAGAGGTGTATCAGCTTTATTAATCTCAGTTAATCAGCTTTTGATTTTTTTCTCATTAAAGTCTGCTTTAAATGGTTTCCTTTTTCAGATTATTTTGAGTTTAATTTTCTAGTCTTATTCTTTATTATTATGTAAGCTAAACTTGATTCTTTTCTAATGCAGGCAATACACTTTATAAGTTTTCTTCAAATCTCAACTTTCCCTGTGTCAAACAAAGGCCCATAGATTTTGGTTCTGTTTTTGTTAATGTCAATGAATGATATTATAGTAGTATTTGTCTTTTTCTATCTGGCTTATTTCACTAAGCGTAATTTCCTCTATGTTTATTTATGTTGTGAATGGCAGGGTATAATTTTTTAAATAGATAAATAGTATCTTATTATGTATATAAACCTCATCTTCTTTACCCATTTGCTAGTTCTTTGACTTATAAATAGTGCTGCAATAAACATTGGGTGTATGTTAAATTTTTAGGTAAAAACCCATAAGTGCAACAATTGGATCATATGGAATTCCATATCTATCTATTTATCATCTGTCTGTCTATCTGTCCAGCTAGCTAGCTACCTAGCTATCTTTTAATATTCTCCATGTTTCTCCTGATATACTAGTATTTTTAGCTTCTTTTTCAAACACATGGAGTAATTCTTCAGTAACATTTTTAATGATAGTATCTACTTGTCATATCATCTCTGTCATTTTTAGTTTTGTTTAAATGGACTGAACCTTATATTTGATTGAGGTTTCCAGAATTTTTGAATGAACTTGAAATAGCAAGAGATGTTTACATATAGTTTTGAACATTGTTTGTTCAGTAATGGTAGTGGAATGTACAATACATATTTATAACCTTGAAGAGAACAGTCAGTCCACTTTTATCCGGGAGGGATATATTCCAAGATTCTCATAGATCATACAGAACCCTATATGTTTTATAATTTTTCTTACACATATCATATATATGATACCTATGATAAAGTTTAATTTATAATTACTAAGAACGAAACTAATGATAGTAATAAAATTGAACAATTATAACAACATATTACAGAAAAAATATGTTACAGTAGTCTCTCTCATATTTTATTGTATGTAATATTTTTTGGATCACAGTGATCTATGTGTAACAGAAACTTCAGAAAAAGGAACTGGAGATCAGGCAGATTGTTTACCTCAGCATTAAAGTACGTCCTTCAATTAAACAGAAATCATATTTCTCTAGACAATTTTATTTTCTTGGAACAAGGAAATATAATAGGCTTTGAAATAAAATATAACAAGCTTCAAAATGCAAATTTACTTAAATCTATATGAAATTTAACAGGTAGTCTTGTCTCAGTTTTACTGTCTCATATGTAAAATCAAGATGCAAATATCTACCTCAGAGAATATTTATAAACATTAAATCATATCCTAAGGATCATAAAGATGCTAAATTGGAGCCTTAGCATCAAGTTAATTCAGAATATATGAGACATATTGATTACAATAAAACAAAGTGTATGCCTTTAGTACATATTTATTTATTATGTGTATTGATTTTATACAAATTAGATAATACCCATGTACCTATATATGTTTAAATAATACATGTATAATTATATTGATTTTGTAACCTATTTTAATAGTATATCAGTAAGGCCATCATAATTAAAACATTCTCTATATACCCTGTTCTTCAGAACCTGAGTCTTTGAATAAACATATATAGATTCAATGATACAGATGCTTTATTTCCATAATAATAGGCAAGTGGATATTTGTTAATCCATTTTCTACACTAAACGTGCTAATATCTAAATGCTTAGCTTTATACAGACATAATCAGAAGATAGTACACCTATTCATACAATAATTAGACTACAATATATTTTTATATATTAAAGTATGATAGCTGTAATTTGAAAGTTTGAGAGATTACATAATTTAGAGGATTGTTAAAAAAAGATTTATTTATTTATGCACATAGAACTGGGGTACAGGCCAGAGGTGGTGAGAGGATTCTCCAGAGACAGAGTAGGGAGCAGAACAGGTAGATTCATGAAGTACACAGCTGAGGGGAGCATCAGGAGAGATAGGAGAGGTCTGCTGCGTCATGTGGGTCACCTCCCTGGCTGGGGACTGAACTTGTGCTGAGGTGGCCTCATAGTGCTGTGCTTTAACCCATTGCACCAGGGAGGGTTATACATTTTTTATAGTGGTTTAGTTAACATATTTTGTATAATGAAATTTATATTAAAAAGAAAACCTAAATAACTGTAAAGATAAACTTTCTAGACCTTCTCAACTCAGATGTAGTATCGCATATAGATGATAAATAAATATGAATGTAATGTACATATACATATACTCAAATGTATGCATATGAGTATTGTATTTAGCCAACTTTAGTAATATTAAGTAATGAAGTCCAAGAAGAGTAAAATAAGGTTTTGTAATTGAGTTAGAAAACATAAAATTGATTACATGCCAGTGTTTACTTGGTCTAATTTAACTGTAATAGTTAAATTCTGTTCTTGGTCAGCAACATGTGAAAACTTTCTTAAATTTACAAACAGCTAGATACATTTTATTGGCTCATGGGTAGATATTTGAATATAGTGATTAATTTCCTCATCACCATACAATTTTATTCTTTGATAACCAAGAACTAATTAATATTTTTCCTAATGAGAAGAGTGTTATTTGGTTAACTTCAGAAGTATATAATTTCAATAAATTTATATGATATATGACATGACATGACATGATATTATATTATGCATATAAGTGGCCATATTTATATATATGTCAGAATAATTTTAAGCAATTATTTTGTTATAGGGCCATCTTATTCAGAATAGTGTATCATTTATAAATTAAGCGTATACTAGCTGTAGCATTGCCTAGTCATTAGACAAATGTACTTTCAGCCTTAGTAGATATTGTTGTACACAAGTTTCTAAAAGAAAAAAATGTTGAAATTCACTTGCAAAACTGTCTAATTTCTACTGAGATTGAGTATACTTAATTACTATGCTTTAGTAAATCCACATCTGGGATTTATTCAAATGTGCACCAAAAGGTATGTAGAAGAATATTTTTAGAAACATCATTGAAATTAATTCAAACTATCATGAATCTAAATATCAGTCAACAATAGAAGGGGCAAATAAACAGTGTTATACTTATGCTGGAATACAATACAATAACGAACAAGTCATACATGGGTTGATCTTTGGATTAATGTTGAATGAAGGAAACTATACATGTGTAATTACTGATCAATTCCATTTATAGCATGTGCAAGAGCAGGCAAGCAAATCTTACATGATAAAAAGCAAAATAAATAGCAGTTCTTTTGGGGAGTGTGGTTAAATTGTAGTCGCTGAAGGGTGGTTCATTTGAGTGCTACATTAAAGAATTTGTGTATTTTATGTATCTTTTTTTTCAATAAAATTTAAATTTAAAATAACATGCAATTGTAGGAATTTCTGCATCTGGGTTGAGAAAAGTGGATAATAGAGAGAAAATTGAGGAGAAAATTCCATTCATTTACTTCATCTTTTATCACGCCTTCTCTTTCCTAAATTCATTACAGCATCAGAGACTTGCCAGCTCAGCCCCTAAATCCTCATAGGTTCTTGAGGGGTTTTCTTGTTTGGAACTTCTGCTAGAGGCTGATAAAGATAGATGCATATAAGGACTCAGTGTGTGGGAGAGAGGACTCAGATTCCCTCCAATTGCACGCAATGCAACAGAAACTGCAGAAACAAGAGCAAAGCTGTGGGACCAGCAAAGTGCCAGCTGCCCCCTAACAAGTTCCGAAGGTTTCAGCTTCGGCTCACAGGACAGAGACGCTTGACTTGCTCTCCTCCCAGAGAACAATAAATGCAGGTATTCTGATTAATCCCAGACGGCTATATTTTTGTTCACAACAGGACTGTTACCAGTTAGTTACAGGCGAGAACAAATCATTGAAGCCTGGAACAAAGACGCAATTATATTGCTTTTCCCTCCCTTTTCTTTAACTAATAAGCACCAGGAGCCAATGTGCCCCTTCTAGAAGTGAAGCACGTTCTGCAGCGGGAAACGGACTTCTCACCCGGACCTGTACTAGGGCTCAAGGTGTGGCGGGGTGACGTGTTCCTCGCGGGCTGTAAACTGTCCTGCAAGAGGAGAAATTGATTACGCCCAATTCCAGCGAGTTGCGCTTTTCAGAACACTTGGGCGCATGAAAACTCCAGTGGACTCTCCTGCAAGGGAGATCATGCCCCCTAAGACGCTTTCCAACCTCTACCAGGCTGTGAGCACGAATCAGAGCGGTTTAATCTCCGCGGTGTCCGAAAGGGATTTCCTGCCTGCACCAGACGGGACCACCGCGGAGCTGGTGATCCGCTGTGTGATCCCCATCCTGTACCTGTTCATCATTACAGTGGGCTTGCTGGGGAACATCCTGCTGGTGAAGATCTTCATCACCAACAGCACCATGAGGAGCGTCCCCAACATCTTCATCTCTAACCTGGCCGCGGGAGACGTGCTGCTGCTGCTCACCTGCGTCCCAGTGGACGCCTCGCGCTTCTTCTTCGACGAGTGGATGTTCGGGAAGGTGGCCTGCAAATTGATCCCGGCCATCCAGCTCACTTCCGTGGGGGTTTCTGTGTTCACGCTTACTGCCCTCAGTGCTGACCGGTAAGGAAAAGTGGTGCAGAGAGATGAGGGAAGAGAGTGCACCTAGGGAAGGAGAGGAAAAGGAAGGTCGGGGTGGGAGGGGTGGGCGGGGTGGGGGCGCTTCTGAGTGTTAGAATGATCGGATTCAAAATGGGCTGAAATGTGCCCGCCCTTGAAAACATAACAAAGGTATTTTAAAAATAATTAAAATTCATTAGTTTGAAAAGTCACTTAAAGTTTCTTATCATTATTGCCACACACTTCGGGATCTTTCTTATCCATTTCACAGAAAAGTTATAAAACACGAAGACAGAATGCACTTATCTTGTATTTTGGGTTTCAGACGTGCAGTTTCCTTGTTCAATAGTCTAAAGATCTGAGAGGTAAGAATGTCTTTCTTAATGTTACAGAACTGTTTGATTTTGAATTTTTCTCCCCACTAAGGGAAAATAGCATTTGCATTTATCAACCAAATCATGCTATTTATTTGAGCAGAACAAAACAAAACAACAGAATTATAAAAATTCTTCAGAAAGATGACACATTCTTCTTGCTCTCTAATACCTCAAGCCAAGTGATTACCTCTCCTTCACACCACTCCCCCCAAAAATGTAGGTACTAAATTTTGGTATCTTAACACAATATTGTAAAAATATATCTTTGCTATCAGAACCTACTTTTTATTTATTTTAAGGTTGGGAAGTATCCATTATTCTGCCTTGTAGGTAGAACTAGTTCAACTGTGTCATTTTCCAGGTGAGAGTATTTAAGCTCCAGCATGTCAAGGCCCCCAGCAGGGCAGGCAGAGCTGAAAGGACAATCCAGCTGGGTGGGGATTCTCTCTACTCCAGGCTTTTTACACTCTTGCTTTGGGGGCAGTTAAGCCTCAGGGGATGCCTGCATACCAATTGCGACTCAAATGTTCAATTAAGCATCACTGCTTGGGGCTGTGTTGTAATTCCCTTTGGGGTGGAGTATTGACTTAACCTGTTCAGATAAACAATTTAATTTGGAATACTGAGGTGGTGTTTACTGTCCTTTACTTTACACATTAAGTTGTTAATGAAAATATATCCATTGTAACTTTGGTGTGTGCATTATTCTGGCATTGATGGGTTAATTTTATTAAAGACAAAACAATATTTAGTAGGAGAGTTCAGAGCCATTGTCTTTCTAAAACTGTGTAATATTGACTTTTTCAGTTTATATAATGTCTTCTCTAAGACCATATTCCTATATAATTGGGTGTTGGGTAAATTATGCACCTCACTATGTTTATATGGGATCATTTCAGTTGTCTTTTAAAATGTTTTCTTTGCATTCCACAATCAAAATGTGATTTCTAAACTGATCTTCTTTATGGGACCCATTTTAATTAGAAAGTTAAAAAAAAATCAACTTAATGATTTAGAATGTAACTTAGTGAATAGATATCACTATGATAGTTAAAATTACTATCTTTATGTTTTAACTTTTAAAGTGTTCATTTGCAAGACGTACAACTTAAGTTTATTTCATATTAACTTCCTCAATCCATTGTCCTGAAGCCACAAAGGAGAGTTGCCTCTTTCAAGGTCATAGAAAATTCTATTCCTCATATAATTACCAATTTTCTTTGTGGATATATAATCCACTTTTTAGGTTCACATGGGTTTTCTAATAATAGAGTTAAAGAAAGCTGCATTGTCTCTCCTACTGAGTCCAGAGGTTACTCATGTTCAGCAGTGTGCTTTAAAAATAAAAATGAAGGAGTAGGGACTCATTGGTGATTAAATTTACAACACATTCCAATATTCACTTAAAATGGGCTAGGGATGCCTTATTACATATTGATTATGTTTATATTTTCTTCCAGAGAACTTGGTTATCAAGTGTTGGATAGTTCTTGATCTTTTGAAACTTTGTGCTACCAAATATTTTGATTTCTGTGGATATGGAAGCAAGTACATGGTTAGCTGCACTTAGCATGGTGCTGGTTTTTTCTTTCTTTCTTTCTTTTGTATGTTTATTATCCTCACAACATATGAAGTCGGCACTACTATTTTTACTATTTTAAAATGAAGCAAGATAAGAAGTCTTGAAATTAAGCAACATTTTCATGATTTCACATGATGGAACCAGCATTTGAAAACAGTTTAAAAACCGTCAGTCTTTAATATTAAGCCACATTACTTCCCTAGGCATAAGAAATTACTAATGTTTTTCCTATTTAATGGCAGACTAAACAATTTAAAACAAAGCACACAGAGTGGAAAAGGATTTTTTTTTTTGGCAAAAATTGACTCATTACATTAGATAGATCAGGGCTCTCCCTTATGGTGCAAAGGATTAAAGCACAACACTATGAAGCTAGCTGCAGCCTCTTCAACATGAGTTCCATCCCTGGCCAGAGAGGTGACCCACATAGCGCAGCAAATCTCTCCTGACCTGCCCGCTGCTCCCCTCAGTAGTGTACTTTGTTGATCTGCCTGTTCTGCTCCCCACTCTGTCTCTGGTGAATCCTGTCAACCACCACACCTCTGGCTTGTACCCCAGTTCTGTAAGCATAAATAAATAAATCTTAAAAAAAAATTACATAGTAAATATAACAAAAGGAAAAAAGCTAATCAATCCACTCAGTTATTACAGTTTTAAATATCAATTCCATTCTTTGTGAAATCACATATTTCATGAGATCACTACTGCATCTTTAAGAAAATAAAGATAAAGAGCTGTAAACTAGTAATATAGAAAAAAAATACTAGTAATATAGTAACATAGTAATATAGGAGATAACTAGAATTTGTAAAACACACCCCACTATAAATTGGAGAGTATATCTTTCACTGTGACAGCCCTATTGGAGAGCAGAGCCTGAGATAGGGACACAATGTTTATGACTCCATAATGCCTGCATATCTTGTTTGACATGAATGAAGGGTGGTATGGTGAAACCTCTTTGGCAGTTGTGATTATTAATTGCTGACTTTCCAAACTCTTTGGAAGAGTTTCACCTGATGTGTCCTCAGCAGTGATTGCTTGTGTCTCCTGCTCAAGTATCTCAGAGGCTAGAAGCAGGGGAGGAGAGGAAGCGGCTATAGCTGATACGCGATATAAAATGGTGATACAGGTGCTCTCCGTTTAATAGCTACCTTTCCTTGATGTATTGTTTTGGTTTCTATTTTGAAAAAGTACTATTTCCTTTTTCTTCCTTGCTCACACACACACACACACACACACACACACACACACCCCTTACACTCTCCACTGTTAGACTGTGCTGTGATACCAGATAGTGGAGTCCCATAGGTAATACTTTGTTGATGGTTGATGTCATAGATTTTTTTCTCTCAGCCTATTGGAGTAGCTGCATTTCCAAACTTAAATATTTGCTTGATTCCTGAAGACTGGCCTCTAAAAGCTCATAATTAAAAGGCAAATCATTCTTAGGAATAGAATTTCCTTTTTCTTTTGTGGGAAAAATTCCCCACAGATTCCTAGTGCTAAGCCCTAAACTATAAATTTTATATATTTACAAATACAAAAGTAGATAATCAGTCCTTTACTCTGTTTTTTATATAACTGCCAGCTAAAGTACATTTATACATAAAACATAAAAAATGTATAAAATAAAAATATAATTAATAAAGGTGTGATACCTTGTCATGTTTTCCTGATACTAAGTAGTCAACTTCTGGATTGAATCAAACATAATATTAGATGGTCTTATAAAAGTGCTAGTGTTTAATAATATCATGCTTTTGTTTGCTAGTTAGTAAAATCTTGAATTGTTAATATAATTTGGATATTAAACCAAAGCAAACACGTGTTATCTTTTTTTTTTTTAAAGATTTATTTATTTATTCATACAGAACTGCGTACAGGCAGAGATGCGGAGGGTGAGAGGATTTACCAGGAACAAAGTGGGGAGCAGAACAGGCAGATTCACGAAGTACACTGCTGAGGGGAGCAGCAGGTGGGTCAGGAGAGGTCTGCCAGGCCATGTGGTCACCTCCAGGGCAGGCGGGGATCAAACTCATGCGGAAGTGGCTTAAGCTTCTCAGTGCTGTGCTTTAACCCGCTGCGCCACCAGGGAGGGCCAAATACATGTTATCTTTTGTTAAAGTATTGAAACAGATTTAACGTAGACCTGAACTCTAACACTCCCTAGACCTTGTAAAGCTTCTTACCACTTTGCCCAGTGTAAGTGGGAATGCCATGATCTCATTTGCTGGTTTCTCACCAAAATGCTCCACTAAAGCACAGATACAGGTTAACTGAGTAGCCTAATTAGGGAGGCTTTTTTCTTTGGTCCATAGCAGGTGTCACTAAGTTGTCTTCAGCACAAAGCTGGGTGCTGAAATTAATTCTCAGAGTGTGCTTCTTAGCTTTCGTGGAGAGTTCACACTGGCCACATCTACTTGAAAAGAAATGCATACTCACTGGCCCTCCCTGGTGGCATAGTGGTTGGAGCACTGCACTGTGAAGCCAAGCCGTGGCTGCTTCAGTGGGAGTTCAATCCCTGCCCTGGAGGAGATCCACATGGTACAGCAGACCTCTCCTGTCTTGTCGGCTACTCCCCTCAGCAGTGTACTTTGTCAATCTGCCTGTTCTACTCCCCATTCTGTTTCTAGTGAATCCTCTTGCCTGTATCTCATTTCGGTATGCATTAAAAAGAAAAAAAAAGAAGTACATACTCACCTACAGAAAAACCATATGACCAAAGTGATAACTTATTTAACTTCAATGTGCTCCAAAAGAATTTAGGCTTGACCAAAAACAAAGATAAGCACCCTGTTATAGGACTAAGCAAGAAAGGAAAATCAGTTACAGGGAAAATGAAAGTTGAAGATTATTAGGTGACCTTCTTATATTTTTTTACCTCTTCGCAGCACTGAGGGAAGTAGTAGGCTCTATTTGGTTCTCAGATAAAGATGACCCACACTTTCACAAAGTATGAGTCAGTTTTTCTGTGCTCTGTCTAACTAACAATAGAAAAAGGAAAATTTCCTTTACATATCAAGTGTATAATTATTTTTAGATAGCCATAGAACTATGATAAATTATAATCTGTACTTATTAAATTTTATTTTGAAAGTTTCTTGTAAATGAAAATGATTACTGACTCTAATTCATTAAGTATACTTTTTTTTGCATTAAGTATATTTTAATCATTAATCTCAAATACCCTTAGCTTAGTTCTTTTTCCTATTCCTTAGACACTGACCTAGAGAGTGTTGTATAATTCTCACAATATTCACAGCATTGCCATAATTTATACATTGCTTTATCGTTTTTGAAGATCTATTCATCCACCTTGTTCTGAAACCTTTGGAACACACTAGAATAAGGCAGGGGTGGGGAGGAGGGAATGCACCAGGCTGGGATTTATGGCATCTGGGTGCTAACCCTGCATCTGTTATGTCCAAGTGGTCCAGCTGGAGAAAATGATGAAACGGCACAAAGCACATGAGCGTAAGACAGAGTCCCAAGTGCAAAATAAAAATAACGTCTTTCACTGAGAACTGAGGGACCTTTAATAGAGCATAGTACTTCCCCTAGTGTTGAGCAGAGATGAGCCAAAGAGGAAAAGGAGCACTGGGAACTGGTGAGGCAACTGGATGCCCAATTCAGCTCTCCTGCCACACTATCCCATGGCATTACAGCTCAGACAACTCTCTTGTTTAATAATTTATGTTGACTCCATTTTGTCCACTTCTCAGTGGGAATTAAAACCTGAGAATGTGGGGCCCTCCCTGGTGGCTCAGCGGGTTAAAGCACAGCACAAAGAAGCTTAAGCCACTTCCGCATGAGCTCCATCACCAGCCCCGGAGGTGACCACATGCCACCGCAGACCTCTCCTGATGGCCCCGCTGCTCCCCTCAGCAGTGTATTTCCTCAGTCTGCCGGTTCTGCTCCCCGCTCTGTCTCTGGTGAATCCTCTCACCCTCCGCATCTCTGGCCTGTACCCCAGTTCTGTACAAATAAATTAATAAATTAAACAAACAAACAAACAAACAAACAAACAAAAAATCTGAGAATGTGCCTATCAGTCTTTTGCTGTGATGTGTTGAAATACAGGTCATTCTGTTCTGGCTGAACCTGGAAGCCAGTGATGTTCAACACCTTCCTCACTGTTAGTTACCATCAGCCACACAGGTCTTACTTGTGTGTTTCAGAAAAAAATTAAAATTTACCTTGGTCTTTTCAAATGCTCAGGAGAGAGAACTAATTTCTGAGGTCTTTCCTAACTGTAATTGCATTTTTATTTTCTTACTCTAAGCAAGTTCTTACCTAAAATGTTTTAGGTGGTACTTATTTGTTTATCACATTTCTGAGAAACCTGACATCATATAAGTGTAGTTGAATCTCTCTTCTGGAAAAGGTTGCTCTGATATTTAGTACCAGACAAATGGTTATACACTATATTTGTATTCTGTCACCATTTTTACTTTTGAATCAATGTAGGATTTGGACAGTAATTTATTCAGTTAACAGATTATTTTCAGCTCTTTGAAGAACTCCACCCACACTCCAAATATACTGACAACCTGATATTTTGAAAGTTCATTTGTTTCTTTTCAATTAAAATGGAAATGCGTCTTCATTAAATTCCTGACTTTGTTGTTTGATGTTGTTGCTTTATCCTCCTTGGTATCCATGTCACCCAAGTTATTATCATTTTAAACTCATGATCCAAAGATTGCTATGTTCAACCTTAATGAGCTCTTAACTTGTTTTAATTATTTTGGTACAAAATATTCAGTGCCATTAGGTTCATAGCCCACTCTTTATTATTATCTTTGATTTATTGAGGTCCCTTGTAGTATTTTTTTTTTTAATCCAGTTCAGATTCATGGAGAGCAGGAACAAACATCAAGCTTTTGCATCTCCCGAGCACTTCATTTGATTTACCTATTTGTCAGAAATTTTGATTCTTTTTCCTCATGTATATTTTCAATATCCAGAGTAGACCTTTACTTTCTTCTTACCTTTTGTGAAAAATTGGAAGTCTTATTTTGAAAATTAGCAACTTGATGATTTTAGTTTAACTAAAATTAAAGTGTGGGTAAGAAGCACATTTTATTTTATTTTTTAAAGATTTATTTACTTATACATATAAGAGCTGGTGGTAGGCTAGTGGTGCAGGGAGGTGAGAGGATTCACCAGAGACATAGTGGGGAGCACAACAGGTAGATCCACTGAAATACACTGCTGAGGGGAGCAGCAGGCAAGACAGGAGAGTCTGCTATGCCATGTGGGGTCAGCTCCCTGGTCAGGAATTGAGCTCATGCTGCAATGGCTGGATACAGCTTGATAGTGCTGAGACGTTAGGCTCTTACCACCAGCGATGCCCAGATGGAGCTATTTTTAATACTTTGTGAAAACTCCACAATTTTTCTCACAGGGGCTGGACCAGTCCTACATCCTCTCCAACCAGGTGCTAGGATTCCTTTCTCTCTCCACACTCACCAACACTTGTTGTGTCCAGTCTTTTTGATTTGGGCTCTTCTCACTGGAGGTAGTGGGAAAAATAACTATTGACTTTAAAAATACTAGGAAGGGCTCTTCCTGGTGGCACAATGGGTTAAAGTTCACCACTATGAAGCTATCCTCAGCCACTGAAGCATGAGTTCCAGTTTCATTCCTTGCTGGGGAGGTGACACACATGTGTGGCAGACCTCTTCTGTCTAGCCCACGGTTCCCCTCAGCAGTGCATTTCAGTGGATCCTCCTGTTCTGTTCCCCTCTCTGTCTTTGGCGAATCCTCTCACCTTGCACCTCTGGCCTGTACCCCAGCTCTTGTATGCATAAATAAATAAATCTTTTACAAAAAATGAAAGTACAAGGAATGTCTAAAAATGAGTAGAATAAATGAAGAATTTTATACTTTCAATTACATTGCATGCAAAAATGCTATTGTTGAAAAATATGGACTTTGTAGGAGATGTAGTCACGTGGGTATAAATCCAGGATCCAAATCTCTGTGATCATTTGAACATCATTCAATCCCTTAATCTTGATGCATTTTTCTGTAAAATGGGACCATTACTCAGTTCTACCACATATTTTGTGAAATGAAATGATTAATGTGAAAGCATTTTCAAACTGTGGTTTGTTGTATAAAGACTCCTACAGTATCACTCATGTGTCAAGATGACAAATGACTCAATGATAAATCTGTGTTTATTCTGCATGTAGTTAACCATCAGAAAACAGGCATTGAAGTGCAGAGCAAAACCAGCCTATTGTAAAATTAAGGAAGATGTGTAACTACACACATTAAATAAGCTGCCATGTGTAACCTTTAGTTACAGACTAGCCAGTTGTAACTTTCTGCCTTCATCAGCAAGGCTTGTTGTTGTTCTTTTGAAACTCTGCTGTCATTTACTGTAAGCACATTAATGGTTTAAAAACAAAGTGGTCATTTTCTGGTAAAGAGCAAATAAAAATGCTCAACCTGTTTGTATTGTTTCTATTGTATAGAGATGGCAATTTTAAGACATTGTGATATCTACATATGAGTTAAAAAATTATCTAACATCCATGATATATTTTGCCAAATTATTAAGTTTAATTAAATTTACATTAAATTTAGACTTCACTGATATTATAGATTCAAAACAAGAATTAAGGAAGAAATGTATCTATTTGTTGATTTTTAATACATGGATAGTACTTTTTGGTTATTTTCTAGTTCTTCTTTAGAGATATCTTTCTCAGATGATTTGTAAAGCACTCCACTTTGTGTCCTGGTAACCTAGGAATATTGTAATATGAAAATCTTTGAGACATTCAAATAATTTGAAGTTTATATTCAATTTTGGTTTGTCCTCACCATCAGCTTATTTAATGTGTGTAGCTGAGTTTTATCCTGGAGTGTGGTTCTTTCACTTCTATAATGGTGTGAGGTGGGAGGAAGATCTTATAGTTTCATGACATTAAACACATTTCAACTATAAAGACAGAATGTTAGTCTATTTTCATATCGAATGACTGGATTTTGGAGAAAAATCTCAGTCTGTAGTATTTATTAATTTCTTTTAAAAAAGTAGCCCTTAGGTTTAGAAACTACATAAGAGCATCAAGGCAGAATCTGATATTATTTTATGGACATTTTTTACATCATGTGCTTTGTATGTTATAGTAGTTACGGTTATGATAAATATTTTTTAAATATAAGCATTTAAATAAAAATATCCCATAAATGATAATTGCAAAACGTGTAGAGTTAGAAATAGAGCTTGTGAAAGGTAAGCAAGCGAATTGCCGAAATTGTGGAACTGACAAGTTTTCTCTTACCCACCCTTCCCCCTCCCTTTCTCCCTTCTGCCAACCCCGCCTTCCATTGCTTCACCCTCCCCCCCCCCCCCCACCCCGGAGTAATGTGAGCCACACTGTCTTCCCAGGTACAGGGCCATCGTCAACCCCATGGACATCCAGAAATCGGGAGCGGTGCTGTGGACCTGCGTGAAGGCTGTGGGTATCTGGGTGGTCTCCGTGCTCTTGGCAGTTCCTGAGGCTGTGTTTTCGGAAGTGGCTGGCATCAGAAGCTCGGAAAATGGCAGCTTCACAGCATGTATCCCCTACCCTCAGGAAGATGAATTGCACCCAAAAATTCACTCAGTGCTCATCTTCTTGGTCTATTTCCTCATACCACTTGCTATTATTAGCGGTTATTATTACCATATTGCAAAGACCTTAATTAAAAGTGCACATAATCTTCCTGGTGAATACAATGAACATACCAAAAAACAGGTAAGCTTGGTAGGAGTGTGTTGAAAGTCTGCTAGTTAGATGCACTTGTTTTTCCTCTCTATTTAAAGTGCTCTTACTATCACAGATGATTAGAACAGCCAGAGGTTTTCTGGGACATGCATTAGCTTCACCTGGAAGGGATGTGATCAGGTCATTAATATGTGGCAATGTCAGAGCTCCGTGAAGGCCCACTGAGACTCAGCTTACCTGTTATCTGGGACAGAGGCCATTAGGAAGTAATGTCTTTGAAGTTTTTTTGTTATTTGCAAGTATTTACCCAAAGAACAGTATAATAAACCAGAAAGCAGTCACTATTTTGAGTACAAATTAATTTAGTTACTGCCTCCTCTCCCATTAGTCACAGAAGATGACAAAAAATCTGGGTGAATTATGCATGGGGGATGGGACATGGCTTAGGCTCTGAGGTTGGGGTTTCGTTAGATCCCAGAATGCAAGACTCTGGAGAGAGGATAACAAAATGAGTGAGAAATGAGCAAAAGACATGTTGCTGCATAAGTGTTGGTCTAATTCAACTTTATAATTTTTCCTACTGATGCTATATGCTAATTGAAAATTAAAGATGTTTAAAATGAAAAACATCAATGTTTATTATTTGAATTTTGTCTGTTTATCACATTTTTGAAGATTTCCTATAAAACAGTTTGTGCAAGTATGTGAAGCTTATGAAAAATAAAATTATATATTTTTAATTTTAAAGGTAACCCAACATAGTAATATTTATAGAATTGATAGTAAACTAAGATGCTTTAGATTTATGTGAGTTAGGAGTTTAAAATCTCAGTCTCCTTTCTGTGAAGTAAGGTTGAAAATACTCATTCCCTATTTTGGATATTTTTTCTATTTATAATACCATGATTTAAAATACAGTCTAAACTTGAATACATTCCATGCTTCATAAATTCAATGGATTTAATGCAAACAGAAGCGATTTATATCTGTAGTGAATGTATAAGAATTTAAGCAAAAGGAAAATAAAATTTAGGGCTTTTTTAAAGATCACCATTTTACATGGTGATATATATTAATAGTTTATCATGCAGTCTTACATTTTTAAATGAAAATAGTGCAGTGATCAAAACAGCATTCATCAAACTGCTAAAACCATTAGTTTGATGAGGAAAATGAGTTTTGTAGTTTTGAATGCACTTGCATCTTGTGCTAAGTTCTAGTCCCTTTCATACCATACCATACCTTTCAGAAGTGACTGGCTTCTTTTTCCCTTTGACCAACACCACTATTTCCTTATATTTGCAGATGGAAACACGAAAACGCTTGGCTAAAATTGTGCTGGTCTTTGTGGGCTGCTTTGTCTTCTGTTGGTTTCCAAATCACATCCTCTACTTGTATCGGTCTTTCAACTATAATGAGATCGATTCATCTCTAGGCCACATGATTGTCACCTTAATTGCCCGAGTTTTAAGCTTTTGCAATTCTTGTGTCAATCCATTTGCTCTTTATCTACTCAGCGAAAGCTTCAGGAGGCATTTCAATAGTCAGCTCTGTTGTGGGAGGAAGACCTATCAAGAGAGATCACCCAGCTACCTTCTCAGCTCTTCTGCAGTGCGGATGACATCTCTGAAAAGCAATACCAAAAATGTGGTGACCAATTCTGTACTGCTGAATGGACACAGCATGAAGCAGGAAATGGCACTGTGACTTTGACCCTTCAAGTCATCACCTGGAAAGGATTTACTTTACTATCTTCATTGAACAGAGCAAAATTAGACACTTTTCTCATTTACATTACTATTGCGCAGCTAATTCCTGTCATGATATTGACTCAGAAAAGGGAAAACAATCCAAGTTAACTTTTTTCTCTGTCCAGGACTTGACGTTAAAATACAGTTATTGTTCACATTACAAATGACTTGAAAAGCAAGCCTATATGTATATAAATCAATATTGCTTCAGGAGTTAAACTGTTGCTAGTGTCAACTCTCGCATATTTATCTTAAATTTGTTTTATCTTGAAGCATGAAATAAATTCCTGTGTGACTAAATGATTCAGCAAGTATAATATTCATTCTCTCAGTATTTGAATACAAGTCATATTTTCCTGGTGAATTTTATTCATAACTAGTGCACGTATCTATTTCCTTTGTTTGGAAAAAAAAAATAGAAAGTTCAGAAGGTGGGGTTTAATTATATATCAATCATTTTTATTGTGATTCTTTACATGATTAGTAATAGTTTATAGAATTAGCAAATATCTGAACTCTTAGGGATGTGTTTAAAAGGCTTAATATTTGTACTATGAATAGCAAAGTAGATATATGATTATGATTTTCATTGCAATTATAAAATATGTATCAAATGTTACAGACTATAAAACTGACTCCCAAGTTGATATGGTCATCTGTGTATTCATTAGATAATTCTGTGTAAATATGACAAGATTTGTATAACTGTAGTGAGTTCAATAATTTATTCTTTTGCAGCATCCATCTGATAAGGCAAAGTTTATCCTTCTTGATGTCACAGTTTTCTCTGAATAACTGTCTTGGATTTTTTACCAAAATGAAAAGATGATGTTGACGGAATTCTAGAAACTATCCCTTCTTAAGTATGCATCAGTAAGTCCAATGTTTGGATTATCATACTTCATGCCAGTTCTCTTTCTAATTATTCTGAATCTAAAACTTAGTATACTAATTACCTTTTTAGACAATCATGTCCTGTCTGTGATATTTAAGATATGAAATTCTCAATCATATGTAGCAATGGGAAAAACAAACCCAAACAAATTATCTGATTGTTGATAATTATGATGATGCCTATTATTCAAGTATTTTCTATGTTGTATGAAAATCCTAAAGTTTTACACAAGTTATCTAATTTAATCATCATTATCTCTAAAGTAGGGTAAGAAGTTATATATATAACTTGAGAATGATACAACTTAAAACTATACAATTTTGCAAGTTTTACAAAAATTTTTGATCACATATACATATCGCTTGTGCCTTTAATTTAGGCTTTACTGTCTCAGGTAAATCCAACTCAGAAATATGTCTTGTTATTATATTTGCTTGTAGGTTAGCAATTCAGGCTCAGGAATATTAAGAAACTTAGAATATTACACAGTTATGTGAGAAAGATGAGTTTTATAACCATGATTCTTGAATCCACTATTCCATCACTCAATTGTTGCTTTCTTTTGTTTTGAATAGTTTGTTAACATTTGGAAAAGTTGTATTGTCACTCAATGGAAATATTTGCCACAAATTTTATATTGACTCTGAGTATTTTATATACCTTTTAAGGCTCATCCATAAAACCTAAATAATCATGAGAAAGGGTTAATACTCTTTGGTCAACACAAAATCCTAATGCTATTGTTAAGATGATGGTATAAATATACATATTTATGCATATTTATGAAAGGTTATAAGATACATGCATGTACATCTTATAAGTTTCATACCCATTGTTTTATATATACAAATATGAAATAGATAAGCATAATACGTACATTATGAAACTATTATATTCTTAATTATAAAGTTCTAATAATTTAAAGTTCAAGAGGATATTATAAAATATGAATTTGATATGTTTTCAGAAAATTTTTACTTACACATATTTTGACTAAAATGCCTTTCTGTAATGACACTAATAGAGGAGTAATTACACTTCAAATGTTTTCTTTTAAACAAATTAATAATAATCACAACTGATCATGTAAGATCAGTATTATAAAAATTTGGTTGCATTTTAGAATTTTCTTTCTGGTTTCCATTTTTATTAGTACCAAACATCAGGCTTAATCTTAGCACTGAGTCCTGCTTTTTGGAAAATTAAACATTACAACTTTGTTCATTTTGAGCAGATTGAAGTTTATCTGTACAAACTATTTTTGAGTCTGCCCCTTGAACTATGCTGCTGTGATTTCTGTGAATTTCACCATTTTTCCAAGTATTCATTTTCTTTGGAATTTACCTGAGCACTATGATAGTAGCATATATCCTATGATGTGTGATCATACTATATATACTTTGATGAAAATATTTGCTTTTATCACACACTTTATATGTCCAAATTTTGTGCCTTATACACACAGTTACCTAAATTGGGTTTATATTAAGATCAGAGTTATACTTTTGTATCAGTTGGATTTTTTTTAAAGATTTATTTATTTATTCATATAGAACTGGGGTACAAGCCAGAAGATGCGGAGGGTGAGAGGATTCACCAGAGACGGACTGGGGAGCAGAACAGGCAGATCGATGAAGTACACTGCTGAGGGGAGCAGCGGGTGGGCCAGGAGAGGTCTGCCATGCCATGTGTTCACCTCGGGGGCAGGCGGGGATCAAACTCATGCGGAAGTGGCTTTAGCTTCTTAGTGCTGTGCTTTAACCCGCTGTGCCACCAGGGAGGGCCTGTATCGGTTGGATTTTATATAGGTTTAGTTTATGTATGCATAATTATTTCTGCAATATTTATACCTCTTTTAGGCTTTGGAAGATTTTCTTGTTTTTATTATCAAAGAATAAAGTTAAAAGAGCCAAATCCTTAACTTGTATATGAAATTATACTACAGAAATACTAAGTTATGCATATTAAATAGAAATAGAATAAAAATAGATCTTTATAATGTTAATCAATTTCTTAACATAAATTTCATCTATTAGTATTTTCTAATGCAAAGTAATATTTGTAAGAAACAATGACTAGGTGATAGTATCTGCTACATTGAAGTAAATTCTCACCTAGTTATCATTCTTAATATAAAGAATTTCTTTTTTTAAAATTCCTTTTAAAATTTGGAGTCATTTAAAAGAACTTAAAAAGATCAGATACATGGGATATTTGGGAACAGAGAACGCCCCCTTTAATTGGATCTGTAAAATGGGCTAAAATTATTAGGTCTAAATTGAATAATATAGGTAAAGTATTTATACAAAATAGTATGTGTTCAATAAAAGTGGCTTCCACAATCTAATCATGTAACAAGTGATCTTTCCTTATGTAGTAAAATAATAAAATACATTAAACCTTTAACTCAATATCTTGTATTATGTCTTTACAGGAATATCTCACATCTGCTCACATGGCAGGAAATACTGTAATTCTACAGATGATGGCACAGCAGATAAGAGAAGGATGAGAGCTTATTATTGAATTCTTATCTATCTGACTTTAAATTCATATATTTCAGTTATAATCAATATTGCTAAGGGGTGTAGAATTCAGATAATTCATTGGAAGCTAGAAATAAGCATGTTAACAATTTCCTTCCTGGAATATAGAGGTTACCTGAAGGAGAAAAAGGAATGATTTTAAAATTTATTGTTAACATTCTTTTTTTTTTTTTTTTAAGATTTTATTTCCTTATTCATACAGAACTGGGGTACAAACCAGAGGGTCAGGGGCAGTGAGAGTATTCACCTGAGACAGAGTGGGGAGCAGAACAGGCAGGTGGATGAAGTGCACTGCTAAATTGAGACAGCAGTGGGTGGGTCAAGAGAGGCCTGCCCCGCCCCGTGAATCACCCCCGGGCCAGGTATCGATCTGGCACTGAAGCAGCTGTGGCTAGCTTGGGGTGCTGAGGGCTAATCAGCTGCCCACCAGGGAGGGCCTATTGTTAGCATTCTTAAGGCAAGGATGTTAGCTTTAATTCTGGGTCACTCATATGATTATCTTATAGAACATAATTTTCATATATGAAAATGTGAATCTACAATTTCTGCCACCAAATTTCCCCTTTGTTAATGTTCTACAAAAAGAGGAACCGTAAATAATAAGATTAATGCAATCATTTTGATAGCAAAACTATGTTTTATGTGTTTACTTGCTAGAATTTGTCTTAAATGTTTATGTTTCTATAGTGCTGTAAAACAGCTAATGGATTTTCAACAAGTATAATTTTCCCATTTACTAACATTTTATTACTAGCTTCATTGCACATTCCAGAAATATTTCCATTAAGTTTCAGAAAAATGAAATGTTCAACCAGCAGCCTTCTCATAGAATAAGCATGTGTATTTTAACTTCAAATAAATTAATATGTATGCATGTTTTCCTTAGACATTTTCAAAACCAGGATAGAAGATTTGAATACATATGGTCATTTTAGGTGTAGAAATCCATTTTTGTAAAGTTGAGGAGGATAAAAAGAAGAAAGTATGGTTATAACTGCATTTTTAATGATTATTGGAGGAGGCATTACTTGCACATGGTGGTTACAGCATTTATACCATTTTGCCAAGTTATTCCAAGAGCTCTATTTTTTCCATATGTTTTGTCACACCAAAAATTCGAACAGGAAATTTTCTTATATACAGAGCCAAATCTTAATTTGCTGTGGGTAATTTGTATTAGAAATACTGTATTGCACTAAGACTTCATTCTGGGAAATAATTCTCCTTTTGGGTGCTAAACAGATAAAAAAATTACCCATTACTTTTCATAGTAAAATAGTAATATAAATTTAACTTAATTAGAGACCTACAAAATACTTTGCAAAATATTTAATGCCACTTCAACAAAACTATTTAAATGGGAAAACTGTAATCATTTCAGGTATTTTGGTTTTGTATAATCAGATCTGAAAATCAAGTACCAGAATGTTCAAATTGTTGTTTTCATATGCTGTAAAAATTTTATTGGGAAACATGAGTTTGTGCTTAAAATGTCTGATCTGCTGAATATTTGAAATGTAGTTGCTTTGAGTGTGTGTGGCTTTCTGTTGC